AAAAGGGGGGCTGTGATTGGCTGTTACTTACGCGAGATTTGAACGGGACTTACATAGGCGTCGGATCAGATGTAGGTAGGGCAGAATTTGAAAAAAATCACAAAATCGAAGTAAAATAAAAGGGCATTAATAACAAAAGTAATAAAAAATAAAATTAAAATAAGTTTATAACCAAAATAATTAAAGCCCGTACACTACATCAGATTTTAATCAGATTGCAACTGCCCCCCCCCCGGGCATGTACCATTACCATTCTAATAGTTGACGTATGTTATTGTATCCCCTCTATCTTGACCGTTCCGTATAATAAAGAGATGTAATAATTATTGATACATGCATACTATCATGTTATTATGCTATTCCCAGTAATCTGATTGGTCTATGCAAATATATTACACGGTCGGCATTCTCCGAATACACCAAATTCTCAAATGATGGTTTTACACAGGAAGTTTATTAATTCGAATATTACTGAGAGTTTCAGATATCAAGCTAAAACGCGTCTTTGTTATAAATGCTCTTATACGTGGGCACTATATCTAGATAATTCTCCCAACCCCTTGCCACCCCAACAGCCATGATGCAAATGCCACAGATTGAACATCCTCAAAAATTCGTAATCATGTGACCAATAGACCACACCGCAATTCCGAATGTTAGTGCACTGTGGAATAGTTCAGGCTGAACGAGCGGGCACGCTTTGTGATTGGCGGAGTTGTGTTTGACCAGGGTTGTGTCAAAACTATCCCAGAATGCACTAACATTCAGAACTGTGATATGGTCTCACGTGCCCCGGAAGTGTAAGTATATTGATGGTCACTCCTACAATAAACATATTCCTCATGCAATTAAAATGTAAGACACGCCACTTGCGAAGACTCGAACACGCGTTAACAAATTACGATTTCTTTGCTGCGAGATAGATACATGGGATACACCGTAACCCAACTCTATACTACTAGTATGTACCAGGCAATTGTAACCCGGGCTGCATGCGATAGTACATCAAACAACCACACAATACCTATTCAATTCCTGCTACCCAGAAACAGAACAAAATGTACATGGATGTTAGTGGCCCTAGATGTGCCCGAGTAGTATCCGCGGTCTTGATTCTTGCTGTACACAGAAGCGTATAAATCTGTGAGACCCCTTTTTGGATTACATACAATATTTGGACGGGATTTGAATATATTATATTTTCAGTAGATTAGCACTGAATGATAGATGCAACGTATAGTCAGGCACATATTTACTGTTGTTGCATTACATTAAAGATGCAGTATGGATGAAAACATATTTTTTAATGTTGTTGTTCGATGCCATATTGTGTTGATGAAATTTTTAAATGGTTTTATGGTTTATCATAAACGAAAAATTTTGCGTTTGTACTAGACACACTAATACTAAAAGGACCGCTGCACATGCGTATTATAGAATTTCATTGTTTCATCGAACGTAAACTAAGATGCGTGTTACATTGCATTTTAAAGAATGGATAACTGGATGATTGCACTCGTTGAGTTAACTTTTATTGCGAGCAAAAACTTAATCCAAGAGTTTCATAATTGTTTACCAACGACAATGTTTCCACGGGGACCCCTCGAAATTCAATGCGTCCCGACAGATCTAAAACGCAGTGGGGTAAGAACTGTGCAGTACCACAATATATAATAGTAATAATTACACAGATAATAAGTGTCAGTAGTAGAACATTTTATTATAATAGTTTCACCGCATATTACATGTAAATGGCCGCGGTAACATACTCTGTACTAACAAAGAATTATACACGGAAAGAAACGTCAAAAAGACTATCTACATATCTTGTTCCCGATAAAACGTATATTCACTGAATGATGTCAAATAGATTGTTTGTTACGAAGGCGCACCGCGTTACAACTGTATTGCTGAAGGGAATCTTCTGTTTGTGACTTCAAATGGGCATACTTTCAAGGTATGATATTCTACATCCGGTAATCGTATCTATCCATTTTGCTTCGATCACCAGCAATCATTTATTTACACAAATATATATCCAAGCACATATAACGAAACAACATTGTTGTTTGAGCCGACAAACAGCAATTACTAGCAGACTTGATAATTGTACATTTGTACAGGCATTTTTGTGTGTGCGAATTTTTCACAAAAATACAACAATATGTTTATTTTTCAGTTTGATTTTTTTTATTCTGAACATTATGAACATTTATCTCAGCATTATCGCGCGAATGCCACAGTACATATACAGACTTGGTATCCGCTAACAAGAACCTATAGTAACTACATCCGAATTTAAAGCACACCACGTTCCCGCTATAGTACTGACGTGACAACAGTTCACAGTTTTGGGGAAATACTCACATGATAGAGTAGTTTAGATAATATTCAATCCCAGACGTTATGAATGGTGTTTTAACGGAGAATGTGCAGCGAATTATTGTCAGAGACGCATAGCGTCGGGGACAATGCCGAGACGTATCATGTACGATGAGGACGTACATAAATTCCGTATTTTGCTGTAACCTTATTATTATGCATATTTTATAACATCTGTTAGGAAGGAAAGTTTAGCTAAACTATAATGTTTTCAGAAGAGCCGTGCCAAATATTTACGTTTTATAAAGATAAAATATTTATGAATTTTAAAACGGCCAAATAAAAGTCACCGCGAATCATGACGAACACACTCCGAGTTCCCTGAATGGGACGACCCTGACTGTGTGTCATCTGTGCGCCATCTGTGCAGTGAGAAAATCGACCAGAATCTGATTGGCTTTATGGCCAATATCGTGGGACACTGCGCAAATTTTATACCCAACCCAGTTGTTATAATTCTTGGTACAAATAGCACAGCACGTCTGTTCGGATTCGGCAGTGACCATGACTTTCGAACTTCAAGGGTCGTCACATTTTGAGTTGGGTCTGCTATTCTGTATGCCAATTCTGCATTCAAGCTATAAAGACTGTTTCACCTTAAAGCGCGGTGGTCATCGCGCAGCGCGTGTTCGAATTTCATGTAAATAAAC